TAATCATAGGAAAGACTGCCTGGGCACAGAACTCTTATTCCACCAGCATCTTTTTTCTCTCATTTGGCAGAAAGATATGTGAACTTGAAAAACATTGTCAATAAGACATCTGAAAAATAGATGAGATCCTTTGTATAAAAGAGTGGTCAGTTAAGCTCACATTTTATTATTCTTTCTATCCTTTTCTTGCTGTGAAGTCACACACAGTTTGAGGTGCTTTATCAGAACTATTTTAATTATTGAGTATAGACTTTTATATAACCTTTATAGCCAAGTAGAGGAAGTTGTTTTGCAATCATTTAATTTTACTTGCATTAATCTATTTTATGTGTGTGAGTGTTTTGCTTGCATACATACATATGTACTGAATGAGGGCCTGGTGCATGCAGAGGTAGAGGAAGGCATTGGATCCCTTGGAGCTGGACACATAGATGGTTGTGCATCATCAGATCAGGGTATTCTGGAAGAGCATCAGTGCTCTTCACAGCTCAAGCCATCTCTCCAGTTTGTTTTGCAGTCATTTATTGTGGGGCATGTGATGACAAGTAATGATTTATTTCAAAGAAAGTATACTGTTTAGTGTAATATTTCAAGATGTTCATAGAATGGACTTCAGAAGCCAATACTTGGATTTCAGTAAAGAGCACTGTTGAGGAGATTCAGAAAATCAGTAATATTCTGGTGACAATTGTTGTTTCTTAAGTTGGCTCAGTAGGAAAGCGTGTTTGCTGCCCAAGCATGCAGACCTGAATTTGTGTTCTTCAGCCTCAGCATTGACAATTATAAAGTCAATATATAAATCAACTCTGCATAATGGAATATCATATTCAGGCATTTTATTCTTTAAGTAAAAGTAAAGCATATCTGTCTTGTACATCAAAGATTGGTTTTAAAATAAAATTATTTATGATTTATTGTCAGTAATTATTTGATTTTACACTTTCTTTTTTTAATACTTGTGTAACAGTTCATCAGGCCACAAAGTGTATATATATATATCATCTCTGGATTACTATAATACTTAATACAATATGATTGCTATGTAAATAATTGTTGTATCATATTATTTAGGGAATAATGATGATAAAATTTCTGAATTTCTAATTCTTTCTTAATAGTTTCAATTCATATTTAGTTGAGTCTGCAAATGGATATGTAACTTACAAGTTATGGAAGCTTGGCTATATAATAAATACAATATTAGCTATAGGCAACTAGCTTAGAATAGATTTGTAGAACTTCATTTTCCATGGTTAAATTTTTTGATTTTATATTACAAAATTTGCAATCAAATAAAATTCAGAGTTCTGAGGACAGTTTTTTTTCCTTTAAATTAATATAGGCTACTTCAAGGGGCTATAACATTTTACTAGTAGTAGCAACACATTTTTACCCTCCTACCCCCTTTAAAAAAGAATAACCTCTTATCTCATAAAATGCATATAATTTATTCTCTAACTGATGTGGCCATGCTGTCTGTCCTTTAGTGTTGGGCACCCTGTAAAGAAAGAAAGCAGGCTGTGACATGGAGGACAAAAAGCTGTTGACGCATACTACAAAAATGACAGCTTCTCTCTTGTCTTCCATGCTGGTAGGGATTGGTATTTGCTGTATACTTTTGATCTTAAGTTGGGGATCATGGGTGGAACAACAGTCTTTTCCAAAAGACAGATAAGATTGAGAAAAGTCAATGCCCCACAACTTCTGAACTTTTCAGTTTATGTTGAGAAACATATAAAAGCATTGTTGGGGGCTGATCTTTTGCCCATTTTCACAGTAGCCAGGCCAGACTTCTTAGTGTAAGAAATAAGGGTGAATGGTAAGTGAAGATCTGAATTTTTCTTTACTTGAGAAGCTGGCTAATGTTGATTCCTGTCAGTTCTTGCTCAGGTTTCTGGGGTGCAGGCTACCTGCCACTGTATATGCTGATTGTATTTGTAGATAATCAAGTTGTATAAGTAAAATTGCATACTGTAACTGATAGGAACACACACTCTGCAGGTGTGTGACCATCTTCATTGAGTGCCAGCTCATTTATTGTTTACACCTGAGTTTTCTCATCTGTAAAATGTAGGTAATTGCTTCTATCTCAAAATGGTAAGATAATTGCATATATCATGTGATTTGTTTAAGGCCAGGTCTGTCTCTTTTGCCTGGATTTTTTTCAGTGCCCTTTGTTAATACTGTCACTAGCCTATATTTCTTGTATTTCAGTGAGTATATTTGCTTGTTAACTTTACCTTCCAGGAAGTGAGACCTGTATCATTTCTCTCTTTGTGAACCTTTGTCCTTCTGTATCTAGCTAATATTAATTGAGCTCAACAAATAGGTGTTGGATTAGTCACTTGCGGGTGACTATTTTTGCTGGGAATGAAAGTTGGTAGAGAGGGAGTATTGCCAAAAGTAATTCTTGATATGGTTTGCTTAAAAGTTTTTGGTTGGTGGTAAATCATTGGTTTGAAAAGTTGTGATGATTATAAGTATTTAAGGAATACATTGTCTATCCAACTTTAAAAGTACATCTAACCTAATACAATTATGAGAAAATGTTTGTAGAAAAGATAATTCATCTGGACCAATAACCAGTAACTCATTTAAAAGTTTCATCTTTATCATGATGGCAGAGATAGGTGTTATGATAATTCTTTCTGCCAAAAGCCGCCGGGCCCTACCGCCATGTGGGAGCTTTATGCCAGCCACCTGCCCGAGTTAGACCCAAATGAATACACAGAAACTTGTATTAGGTACAATGCTGCTTGGCCAA